CTCTTCCAGCGAGCCAAAGAGTGTTTGACCCCAAACCATAATCTGTTCCTGCAGCTGACCCAGTTTTCTCAACACAAAGCAAACACACTGTCATAATCCTGGGACTCTGATCCAGCGTTTTCAGTTTACATTTTGAGTTCTTAAGTTATTCCTTGAAATACGGTAAGTAATAGGATTAACATTTGGTTGCCTTAAGTCTAGTCTAGTTATCCTTCACTTAGGTCTTCTTCGTTAGTCTGTCATGTTTCTTTTCTTCCAGCTTGTGTTATCATGCCTACATTGTTCCATGCTGTTTTTTGAAAGTCTGTGTCCTGTGTCAGTGTAGTCAGCTTTGCTTCCTTTGTCTCGTTATGTCAGATTAGCCTCAGCTGTTTCCCCATGTGTTTCCACTTCCCCTGATCACCTCCTGTGTGTATTTAGTCTGTGTGTTTTCAGTCATTTCTTGTCAGATTGTCTGCTTCGTTTCCAGGTCATGAATTCATGTGAAGTCCTTATGGTTCAGTTTTCTCATATCAGGTTCTAGGTCCATGTTCTTGTTTTGGGTTTTTTTTATTTAGCTCACCCAGTTTAGTTTATTGTTAGTCTTGCCTTTGCCTTTTGCTTTGTACCTTTGTCCAGCCTACAATAAACGGCTTGTTTTGAGTTCCCATTAGTTCCCATTAAGTTTGTTTCTATGCTTTGGTTTGTCTGCACCTGGGTCCACTATTGGCACTCCACACAATTTGCCTCTGCACACTGTGACACACACGGTGACTGAGAGCCAACTCCAACACACCTGAACCCTAGCCTTCACCTGCCCTACCTCCACCCATGTAACGCAGCCTTTATACGCTTCATTACCTACACCTGTTCACCTGCTCATTAGTGCAAATATCTAATCAGCCAATAAGATGGCAGCAAATCAGTGTATTCTGGCACATACAGGTGACCTGTTCAGACCCAGCAGCAGAAAGAGGAAAAAAAGGAACTGAAGTCTAAGGTTGGAGGAGAATGGCCAGACTGCTGTGAGCTGATAGGAAGGAAGAGGGAACTCAAAAACACTTGTTAAGACCAACGTATGCAGAAGAGCATCTGTGAATGCACAACATGTCAGATGTCAAAGCGGCAGAAGACCATACAAGGTGTCACTGCTGTCACCTAAGAGCAGGAAACTGAACAACATAAGACCGGAGTAATGTTGGTCTGATGAGCCTCCATTTCTGCTGTCGTGATCGGAAGGTGGGGTCAGGTGTAAACAGTGTGGATCCATTCTGCCTTGGATCGGTCGTTCCGGCTGATGGTGGTGTGATGGAGTCACTGAGACTTTTACAGCTGAGCATCATTTAAACACCACCGCCCGCCTGAGTGTTGTCAGTCACCACGCCCCTCCCTGTATGACCACAGTGATGGCTGCTTCCTGCAGGATAACACATCGTGTTGCAGATCATCTCAAATGGGTTTCCTGAACACGGAGATGAGTTCGCGGCACTCTGGTGTTCTCCACACTCACCGATCTCAGTCCAGCAGTAATGTTGCTGCTGCTCCTGATAGTCCTGATGCAAACCATTCCATGACTCCACCTGCAGGACGGATGAAGCTGGTGGGTTGTGTTGTTAACCTGTTAACTAAACCCACACTTACAGCTTGTGCTTGAACCCACAATACTTCCAAACATCTCAGCGTGAAGCCTGACATCTTACATGAAATCGCTCCACATGACAGACGCTGTGCGCTCTGGCTCTATGTCGTGTTGTTACCTGATTAAAATTTAATGCGGCACAATGCACTTAACCTTTGCTGGTTAAATTTTTATGAATGGCAAACATAAGAAATGTTCAACGTGGTGTAAATGTGCATTATGTCGAGTGGGAATATGTGTGGGAATAAACCCACACTCTGGCTGTTTCTGATGACCTCGATCTCATTTCCTTCTACGCTCTCTCTCACCTCATCTTTCCACCACATTCAGCTTTTTAACCAGAATTTTCTGATTCCTTCTTGTCAGCTGCTGCTCATCCCTGTCTCTCCTCCTCCTTATAAATCACAGTAAACATGTACAACCCACACACACCTGTGCATAGACCTGAATAACAGGCTGGGCTCGGACCTTAAACGTGTCAGTGGTCATTCATATTTAATGTCCAGAATGAACCGCTGTGGGGGGCAGAGCTGTTTCTGTGTGTGTGGATCCTCACTGCTGTAAGCTTCACTGTGATCTGAGCCAGCTCTGCCAGCAGCTGAAGACTGCCCAAACATCCCAGAGTCCTTATCGTATAGCAAACCATCAAAAATACACAAAAACTTATAGCCCTGCTGAGTCTGAAGGTACTGGCTGATTTAATAATGGATTGCATTTATATAGCACTTTTCAAGACCCTGAAAGCACTTTACATTACAATTCCACTATTCATTCACACACTGGTGGAGGCAAGCTACAGTTGTGGCCACAGCTGCCCTGGGGCAGACTGACAGAAGCGAGGCTGCCATGTCGCACCATCGGCCCCTCTGGTCAACACCAGTAGGTGAAGCGTCTTACCCAAGGACACAACGACCAAGACAGACAGACAGACAGACAGAGATGAGGATCGAACCAGCAACCTTCCCATGACAAGATGAGCTTCCCAACCCCCTGAACCACGATTGCCCACGAAAGTCGAATATGTCAACCAAAAGATTTCCTTCACATTTGTTATGTGTAGTTATTTATGAGAAAATTTATTAATCCAGTTTAAGGTCCGTGTTTTGGTCGTGTCTCAAGCATTTTAGGAAACATCAGCGTCATGGCTGAAGGATGTTTCAGCATCTCTTCTTTACTTTTTTACTGTCGCTTATCAGCAATTATCAATGTAGTGTCTGCAAACAGTTAATATCAGCCAATATCATCACTATTAATATATCAGTCACATCACGTTTTGCAGAGAGAAGGACCAAATGCAGACTCTCGGGCAGGCAAACAGGTTAACTTAAAGCAAGTCAGTAAATGAATTTTTAAAATATCCAAACAGTCAAACATAAAGTTCAAAAACTGTAAATTAACTGAAACCTTAAACTTGAAAATACATGAGGGCTGGAAACCAGGAGAACAGCCAGCGACTGTGTACACACAGAGGGCCAATCAGGGAAGTGGAGACTAGTGGGAAAACGAAACACAGCTAAACTGAATCACAGAAGATGAGCTGAAACAAAACTAAAGTAAAACAGGAAGTGTGATAACTAAACAGGGAAAAATCAAGAATGAAACTGTAAGCATTAAACAAACTCTGATTCATATAGGAAATTTAAACGACCCAACGAGAAGGCCCAAAAACTCAAAAACACTGGATGAACTGACAGCTAAGGCTCTCCCAGAAACGTCCACACTTCCTAAAAATAAGTCTGACTCAATTACAACAAACCCCACAGAGTCTGAGTCTGCTGGGTTAATTCCACAGAGGGAGTGAAGAAATGAAGGTGAAAAGAAATTAAAGGGGAAAGGAGTTCAGAGTGCAACAGTGGAGATGGAAACATGCAGAAAATGAATGAGTTCAAGAAAACATTGAATGATATGAAACTGATTCTGAGGCAGCCAAGTATTCATCTCATCATTATCTTGTAATAATATTAAATTAATATAAAGAAACATAAGTAACCACCAACATGTCTTCAGTCTGGTCCAGACTGCAGGTTTTAAACGCTGAAGCAGCATCAGTCATGAGCTGCCTGTAATGTCTGGAGAGAGACTTAACGTGGGTCGATGCCACATCTCCAACACGCCAAGGTCACGAGATGGAACTTGGAGAGAGAACCTGCTGCTCTGAGTCTGTGTCACATTCAGCTCTACAGTAAAACCACAATTACTGTGAGTTTTAAGGAGGAAGAGCACCGAATTATCAAAGATAACAAAACGTCTGGCCTTAAAAGTCAAACAGCAGTCACTGATTATTGATCCAGTCAGCCAAGCACACCCACCAAGCTTATCTGCAACACCTCAGAGTTTCTGAAAGTCTCAGTGAGAAACTCTGATGGTCTGATTTTAAACTGCTGACAGTGGTTTTCTGCACTTTGTCAAACAGTTTCATTCGCTGAGGGTGAAACTCATTAAAACTCATTAAAAGGTTAAGAGCGCCTCTTCCACGCCTCTACGCTGCAGTCCTGCCAAGCTTTTTCTCATCCTCAGAGTTTCCTTCATTTCTCGGACATTATCTAACACTCATCAATGCTGTGCCACAAATCAGCTTAAAGCGGCTACATTCATACACACAAGGCTCCAGAGGCTCTTTGTCTGCAGTTCCAGATAAATGGCACATTCACATGCAGTCATTTTACAGCAGTTTAATCTAATGACGTCTGCTCCCACAGAACATCATCGCTGAACATCGCAGGCTAATTAGATGACTCACTAATATTTTCCCACACTGAGAAAGTGTGCACTGCTTTTTCAGATTCATTCAGCTGCTGCACACTAATCAGGTTACATTGGAGAGCTGCACCTCATCCGTGCGATCACAGTCAGAGCACAGAGTCCTGCAGCAGCCGGCGGACCGATCCGCCCTAAAAGTGGAGATGACCGCGAGGCGATAGACGGCTGTCAGGGTTCTTACAGGGGTGTGAGGACATTGAAGCCAAAGTCTGAGAGAGCTCGCATGCTTTAAATCAATCAGCACATCTGGCAGTTTTCATCTCCTGTGAATCACATTTAAAAAGTTCAGCGTATGGTTTTTCTGCCAGCTTCAACCGTGAGTGTGATGGATTCAATCTGACTGTGTGACCTTACCTCTGAAATATCGACCAAGCATGAAACAGAACATGTTTAATAACGTGCTACACCTTCCGCTCAGCCTGCTGGCGTTATATGCTCCGTAAAACTATCAGCTGTAACAGGTGCTTTCATTTTAACCTCCTCATTTTTCATTTGACACTAAAAACTGCTTCAAATTTGAATCATTGAGTTTAACAGTTTCACGCAGTGCCGTGAAGGACCAGAGTGGCACTGCTGGTGTCACACTGTAGCTCTGTGATTTTGGCCCCCGTGATTCTCCTACCTGTCAGCGCTGAGCGCAGTGAGCGTGAACACCGACACCCCGACCGAGGTGAGCTGGATGACGGGGATGAGTTTGCACGCCGCCTCTCCGAACACCCACTCCTCGGAGAAGTAGCGGAAGGCGTCCACGGGCACGCAGGTGACCAGCAGCAGCAGGTCTCCCGCCGCCAGGCTGGAGATGAAGATGTTGGGCACGCTCCTCATGGCGCTGTTGGTGATGAAGATCTTCACCAGCGTGATGTTGCCCAGCAGACCCACGACGATGATCAGAATATACACGGAGGTCATCACGCAGCGCACCACGAAGTGTACGGTCTCCGCGCCGTCCGCGGACGACCACGGGCCGGGTACCTCAGTGGAGTTGGGGCTCAGTGCCTCCGCGGGAAGGTTCGAGAGGAACTCGTCATCCATGAGTGCGCACGGAGGAGCACTCCACGCGAAGGTCGACCGCTTTTGCGCAAAGGGAAGCTCGCGCGTAAAGCCGCAGAGACAGCAGGGGTGTGTGTGTGACGGTGCTGGGGTGTGTGGGTGTAGGGGGGTCCACACCGGCACCAACGACCAGAGAGACGAAAAGTTTTCCAATAGCTGCTCCTCCGAGAAGCTTCTGAAGGCAGAGAGGAAGCTGACGCGCGTAAAGAGGGGGGAGGCACCGCTGTCTCTCCCCCCCTCTCTCACACCCGCAGTCGGGGGGGGGGGCGAAAGTTTGAGGTGAGACCCGGGCTCATGTTTTAATCTTCCATTATCATTTTTATCATTTTAGCAGGTTTTTTACGTTTGAAATTTTTCCCCCCAAGGATTTCTTCCTGAAAATTTGAGTTTGATCTTTTTATTTCTACTAAGTTGATCTGGAATTTAAATGAAATCCATGAGTGCAGACAGCCTCAGATTTCACTCAAACGGAATCATTTTAATATTTTAGTTTTTAAGCCTGTTTTTAATTCACCTCAGTAAAAAATATTCCTTCATATTAATCTCGTTTGTTTTGATTTCATAAGAATCTCAGCTCTGAGCAGGTTTATTTCACCGAGCTGCCAGGCTGGAAAAGACCAAACTGAAACATGTTTTATATTCAGTCCAGTTTTTATCTTTGCTTCATTTAAATGTTTCTGGCACCCAGTTTGAGCTTTTTGATGATAGCCTCAGTTCTTTTTCCATTTTTCTCACAAAGAAAAAGAAACAGTAAAGCAGTGAACATGTCACAGATTTAGAACAATGTATATCCCGTGGTTACACGGACTTTAGTTTCTCGTCCACCTCTTCTCTCCTCTTTCATCCCGTCATCACTTCGGTTTTATTCATCATCAATTGTCCATTTTCCTCTTCCTTGTTTCAGCCTTCCTCCATCTATGCTGGGGTCACTTCATCCTCTCGGTGATTGCAGGAGGGGAGATTCAGAGTTCAAATTTTTGTTTTTTCATTCCAGATTTGATTCCTTCTTTGAATTTCCCTCCAGCAGAACCTGCAGCTCGGTTGAGAAGTGCCTGCGGTGAATTTGAGAGAGGAGTGATGAATCACTCTGCCTGTTGATGCTGTTTATGATCTTATTTGTTCATTTGCTTTCAGAGTCACGTTCCCACTGACAACAGATCAAAAGCCGCATATAGGCGACGAACGAGGTTAACAAACATCCGGGTATGTTGTACCTTATCTTTGGCAAAAACCTACATCCAGTCTTTATGTAAAGAAAGAAGGAAAAGCAGCCTGTCTTCCTGTAGGTGGAAGCGTATACAGCATCACTGAACTATGTCAGAGCATCAGCGTCATCTATAATCGTGTCAAAAGCATTTTGTGTTTTTAGGTGTAAAACGTTTGACATCGGACCTATGCTGCATATTTTAAAAAAACAAAGCTGTCTTCTACCTGTGCTCGTGCATAGGCAGAACAGAGCTCTGAGGTCAGCTCGTCTCCAGAAGTGCTTTAAAAAGTTGAAAGCTGGCGGAAGAACAAACAGCAGATCTGTGTATCAGGAGATATTCCCTGAACATGACCCGTGACTTCTTTAAGTTTTTTCCATCCTTCCTGCCACTTTTCTAACTTCTGTCCTGGAGCTGCGAGGTTGCAGCTGAAGGCTGCCGTCTCTGCGTTCCATCATTCAAATGGACAAATTCACTTTAAAATTCGCTCTCGGCGGCTGAGCGTAGCTTTGTCTGTCACGGCCACAGATGGCCGAGTCAGAAGTGCTGCAGAGTCATTTGATCCGATGTGATTTTCTTTAAAAGAGCCAATCTGTCGTCTGATCGCTTTCATGTCAGGTTCGCATAATTACAAACTACGCATGGGTGTAATTAGAAACCAGCTTTTATCGACTGACTTATTTTTCCTCTGAGATCACTTTTAAGAGCAGAAACTGTTAAAGATGCAGGTCATTCCTCCTCAGCTCTCTGTAGCTGTTACAAAAACGCAGCCAGCAGCACCTTCAGTCAAGCGGCGTCCCATTATTATTATTATTATTATTATTACTGTGATTGCAATGGAGGCATCATTTTGGGCTTCATTTTCCAGGGGTTCAAATTTGGAAGCGGAGCAGGTGAAAACTTTCAGGGCATATTCCAGCAGCACCTCTGCGGTCGCTAAGGCTGTCATTAAAGCTGCAATTCACAGCTCAGATTAGGTAGAAATAAAAGTCCTTTTTTATTTGGGGGTTTCTGGGACCTTGCTGACCTGGTGACCTGATGAGCTTCTAGAATGACTCTTGTCAGCTGAGAGCACACCTGGTGATGTCAGCCTGGTGCTTAACCTTTCGATGTTTAATCAGGAAGAGATTGTCTGAGTAAAATTATCTCTGTTCCCAACAGTCACCCAGGATTTATCTGTTCGTCTTCACAAAAACACGGCAGCTGTAACCAAACACCTCTGGACTGAAGCTAAAGCGCCCAGATCTCAGCAGGTCCCAGTTCCACAGTGAAGGCTATGAGCGACGAGGTCAGCGGCTGATGCGGACGCGCGTCTGCTGTTAGAACTCTGGAAAGCACTGAAAGCGGGCTGTCAGTCGTTCTGACAAACTTCTCTGCTGCAGAGGAAACCTGCAGTCTGCTGCCACAGTCGACTGTGGACGGGCTTCTCTCTTCCCCTCAGAGCGATGGTTCAGCATTACATCTCACTCTCTGCTCCCACAAACATCATTACATGATCTGTGCTTTGAGAATCAACGCCCCTAACCTCAAAAACCATGTCAGTGTTTGAGTTAATCACGCCATCGATTCTTGTTACATTCAGTTTCATCTCAGCATCCGTCCACTCTACATTTATTATTATTATGATGATGATGATGATGATTATCATTATTATTTGACCAGGATGTCCCACTGAATCTCTAAGAATGGAGACCTGACCAATGTAACACTGCAAACACACAACATCAGCTACATGACTGACAACGTGATATACACCACACACCTACAATATGAAACACTAGTGACCTCCCAAGAAACACATCCACACCCCCTTCACTGCGTTCCTGCTTTTTCTTTCAGCAGTAGGCCGACAAACATATCAGCGCTACTCATAAAGAGGACGATATTGAGTGAGAGACTTTGCATTTGGAATAAAACATGGAGACGCAGGAGGTATTAAAACTGAGGAGGCACACCACCATCATCACAGGCAAAAAAGTGGCTTCAGCAGAATAAAAGTAGAAGCTAAATTTATTTCTACATTTTTTATTCCATTTATTCTTATGAAACATTTTCCTTCACATAATTTTTGTGTTGTTTTTGTGGTTCTGGAGAAAAGAAAGAAGAATCCACTAAAGTCCATTGTCAGTTTTTATTGAGAAACAAAGTCTGAGTCGAACTTTTGGAGTTAAAATAAATAAATATTATTAACAATATTAATATCTTATTTCATGGTACATTAATTACTGGAGAATTATTAAAATCTCTCAAATCTTTTAAACGTTTATATACAGAGCTTTTTTTTTTTTTTTATTAGAATGTTTGTATTGCGCATGCCCGGGACCAACAGCGGCTCACGCGCTTTTACGCACGGCGTCCTCCTCCAGGTATCACATCTGGCTGTGGAAATGGCGTTAAAACTCACATAGTTAGGACGGGTAACGCCGGATACTCCAAGAACGGACCTTCAAATTAAAAGCACAACATCGCCAAAAAGACAATGCGGCATTAAAAAGTCTCCAAATATTTATTTAGCCTTTTTAAGCTTCACTCTTTGTGTATAAAGAAGAGCTTAGTTTGATTCTTTTTAATGTATCTTAGATTTTTTTTTAATCATGCTAAATACAGTTTATTTATAAACCATTGCTCTTTAGCTCTTTCTTTCTATTTTTGGTTTTTATTTTACTTATTTAGAAAATTTTTCTGTAAAGATTTTTTCTTTTTATATACGCCCGTTTTTATTTAATGATGTATTTCAGACATATTCAAGTGTTTTATGAGGTTCTTGTGGTTTTATTTTTCATATACTCGCTCTGAATCGCAGTTATTTCACTCATATTTCTGACTAATCCTCAGGTGTTTGTTAACCCCTCTGTTCCCTCCGTGCACCTCTGGATGTGTTCAGAGCCGGGACCGGAAGTCGCGCAGGGTTATCCGTGTGGCTTGACTGCGCTCTCTGTCCCGCAAAATCCCGCAGCTGGCATGAGTTTAGGATCCGTGAGTGGAAAAAAGAGGGGGGAATGAACAACACGCCGCCAGGATTACGGTTGGTGTGTGGACTTTTATTTCACTTTGTCCGCTTTTGGTTTTGGGGGATTTGAACTTTGATCGGGTTTCTTTCTGTGTGGCTCGCTCGTGGCTCTTCATCGGACTGTATTTGGGACCACAGCCGCTCCGTGAATGCTCTTCCACAAGTATTTACAGTGCAGGGTGTGTTGTCATCACTCTTGTTTTCGACAAAATGTTTTCTCAGAGCTGATTAATCATGTGTCCATTTCAACTTTATGAAACCAAAAATGATGCTTTAGTTAAGTTATATAAAGTCCATAATTCTATTTAATCTCATTAATACAACAGCCTGTGTGTGAAAATGTTACAGCTCAGTGGGTTTTTCAAAATAAAGTTCCAGATCGTGAGCATGACCGTTAGAAAGTGTAAGTTCTGAGGTCCCGTGGAGCTGATATGTCCTTTAGCGCACTGTGTGCTTTGTATTTAGTTGCGTGTTTGCCATCTCTCTCTGCATTGTGTTGAACAGGGGAGTGTTTTTCGCTGACATAGTTCTGTAGGGATTATAATGCAGGGAGCACATGCCCTCACGGCCCATTGTTGGCCCCTCTGTCTCTGTTGTCTCTCTTTCTACTGAGTGAGTCAATTGATGGAGGGATAAAAGGCCAAAAATATGCACTGACATGGCTTTCAAGAGAGAGAGAGAGAGCGGGGCAGAGGCAGAGGGTCAGTGGCAGATTTGGTAGACCTACTGTTGGTGGCCTGTACCCAGAGCCGGCAGCAGACAGGCCATGAGGGCCCAGAGCAGCCCTACAATTAAACGGGGAACACCGAGAAGCAAGCCATGTCTTTAAATTACATCAAAAACTTCTACGAAGGATGCGTAAGTACATCACTCAGACTTATTGGAAGGCTCTTCCTCTAACCGGAGCCTGCCTCACCAAAGCTTTGACAGTTAGAGAGAAGCAGTGCTTAACACACGTCCCTCCCGTGGCTTAAAATGAAAAGACATTAAAAAAAAAAAAATTAAAGTCAATCTTCGTTTTGCTTCAGTCTTTATGTAGCTGAGCAACATATTTGTGAGCCAAGAGGCTCTCTGCTTTGTGAGAGTGCCATTTGGGCCCTTTTTCTGATAAACATGAGATGGGAAATGTTTCCTCTCAGTGGGTTTTGTTTTAGCCTTCAGAGCTCAGGGCCTCCAAAGCAGCTGCTTTTATCTGGCTGACAAAAGATGTTTTTCCTCTTTATATGTGTGTGTGTGTGTGTCATGAAAACCTCTATGCGAATGTAAATACCCCCGTGTGTGCACATATGGCTGTCTGCTTACATGTTGTCCTGTATATGTGTGTATGTGTGTTCCAGCTCAGGCCTCCTACAGTGATAGGCCAGTTCCACACCTTGTTCTTCGGCTCCGTGCGGATGTTCTTCCTGGGCGTCCTTGGCTTCGCCGTCTATGGGAATGAGGCGCTGCACTTCAGCTGCGACCCTGACCGCCGAGAACTCAACCTTTACTGCTACAACCAGTTTAGGCCCATAACACCGCAGGTAGGAGGAGTCATCCAAACTTTCATCCCTCTGATGTCACAAACCAAAGCAGAATGAGCTTTTAGAGGTGCCATCAGCTTTTATTAACACGAAGTAAATGCTACAAAACCTATACAAAAATATCCCAAAATGTCTGTAAACGTTGACCACCATTACAGATCATATTGAGTTTGAGTTCTGAGAAATCACATGTGTACAATGAAGAAAAGCAGTTGTGAATTATCAGTTTGGATAAATTCTGTTGAAGAATACAGCATCATGCATGAATCAGGGAAGTTTCCAATATTCCAGCTGAGGCATGTTTGGGGACAGATGGTGATGTGTCCAATCCAATAAAAAGCATTTGCAGTCAGAAAACGGTCGCAGGTGGTTATCAGCATGAACGGCTTTTTTCCGTATTGGTGGAAAAGTCAATTTGGGAAAGCAAACATTGAACTGCAAATGACCAGATTCCCGCCTGCTGCTTTTCCAGAGACACAAATCCTATATTTCACTGATTTCCACCATCTGGAAGGCCAATTAAAAGCAGTGTCTGAAGTCATGCACAATAAATGGACTTGTGTTCTTTTTACTTTGTTCTTGAACTTTCTATCCCTATTTAACCTTTTTCTCCTTCCCCCGATTTTCATCCTTGATTTGCTGCTCTTGTTGAAGTCCTCTTCCTGCTTCAATCCATCAACTTTACTTCCATGAGCTTTTCTCACTTCCCCTGCGTTGTTCCTCCCCTCTTCAGGTCTTCTGGGCATTACAGCTGGTAACAGTCCTGGTTCCTGGAGCAGTATTCCACCTTTATGCCGCCTGTAAGAACATAGACCAGGAGGAGATCCTCGAGCGACCCATCTACACAGTCTTCTACATCATTTCTGTTCTCCTGCGCATCATTTTGGAAGTCATCGCCTTCTGGCTACAAAGTCATCTCTTTGGCTTTCAGGTCAGTCGGTGAGAAATGTGACACGATAAATATTTTTATTCATATGTTCACCCATATTCACACCAAAGGATGGCAACAATGAGAACTGTGACTGTGTCTGGAATATAGTTTTTTTTTAAACATTTTATTTTGTATTAATACCCAATTTTAATAGTTATAACTGTTTAGAATGAAGATTTAAATTTATTATACATACCTACAATGTAAACAAACCTATTAGTCCATCTGACATAAAAATATTTAAACATCTGTCCAAAACCAATTCAGAAATTTAAAAATTATATTATTTATTGGGCAAATAATAAACTCAATTCACATTTGATACCCAAATTTAAACCAGCACACTGGACTCTTCTGAGAAGTCAGAAATGAATCAAACATGACATGCAAACACTACAATTAATTTTTCTCTTCAGGAATGTAGGTTTATTTATCATGTTTGTCTTCTGATAGAAAACAAATAATATCCTCTTTACATGTAGTGAATAAGAACCTTTAAACCTGACAGAAAAAGTGATTTGATTTATATTGTGATAGATGATGATATCCACTGATATGAGAAAAGATATTGGAGCCTAGCCCAGCTGTCATAGGGCACACCCGAGGCAGGGCAGCAGACAGACAACCATTCACATTCATGGACTAGATGGTTTAATTATTTATATAGCACATTTAATTACAACAGGAGCGCTGACCAAAGTGCTGTACAAGAATACAACATACATAATAAAACAAATTAGAGTATTAAAAGCAAACACCAAATATGAATTAACAAACAACTCTCATGCTGTGTTAAAAGCCAGTAAATAAAAATGCGTTTTAAGATAAGATTTAAAAAGATTGACAGTGGGAGCCTGTCTGATGTGTAGGGGTAAATTATTCCACAGCTTAGGCGCTACGACTGCAAATGCTCGATCACCTCTATGAACCAGCCTCGACCTTGGTACAGCTAAAAGCAAAAGATCACTTGATCTAAGAGATCTAAGGGGGTATAAGTCTGCAAGAGGTCAGACAAATACCCGGGAGCCTGTCCATTCAGGGCTTTGTAAGTCAACAATAAAATTTTAAAATTAATTCTGAAGCGGACAGGGAGCCAATGAAGGGAGGCAAGAACCGGGGAAATGTGTTCACATCTTTTAGTACGTGTCAGAAGACGAGCTGCAGCATTCTGGACCAACTGCAGCCTTACCAGGCAGGTCTGGCTGACTCCAGCATATAAGGAGTTACAATAGTCCAGCTGGGATATAATAAAAGCATGAATCGCTCGTTCAAAGTTTTTAAAAGATAAAAATGATCTCACCTTAGATAAAAGCCTCAGTTTGAAGAAAGACCGTTGTACAACTGAGCTAATTTGTTTTTCAAAGGTGAAATTGCTGTCAAATATAACCCCCAAATTTAATGATGGAATCGAACTTGGCATCTTCTTGATGTGAGGCTACTGACCGCCCCACCATGCAAATATAATTGGTATATAAATGTCATTATTATGATGGCAGAAAGGTCAGATTTTGCTACCTGGTAAATTGATCTTTATTACAGTACAAGATAAGTCTCTTTAGGCATGACGTACCAGGGAAGTTTGCCACTTTACTTTGATCATGGATCTGTTCCTGTGTGAAAACGTAGTAATTGTACTTTTTGACTCTGTTTTAAATGGTCCGGCACATAATAGGTACAGCCAGAGTAGATACATTGGCAATAATGCCGATCAAATTCCTGTCTTCATGAGTTGTAAGGTTTGAGCAGCCAGTGGCTAGAAGTTGAGATAAGAATGGAAGCTTCAGTGCCTCACATTTCTCTCTTTTTCCCCAGGTTCACCCACTGTACATGTGTGATGCCAGTGCTTTGGAAAAGGCTTTTAATGTGACAAAGTGCATGGTACCTGAACACTTTGAGAAAACCATCTTCCTCAGTGCCATGTACACCTTCACCGTAATCACCATACTTCTCTGTATTGCCGAGATATTTGAAATACTCTGCCGACGACTGGGCTATCTCAACAATCAGTGACACAAGTGCACAGATAAAATGACTTGTGGTAAACCTGTATGACACCTTATCTGCCAGTTATACCGGGCTCCTGCCGGCTACGGCTGGACCTTTATAAAACAGGGAGCGAACAGAAGACCAAAACCTCACCTGTGGTCAATCGTGCACTAAGAAATTTGAGACAGTCCAACAATGTTAGAGCTGGCAAGTCTGAAATAACCTCCAGAGTTTAACCATAACTATAGAGTGATGATCCCTGGTTGTATATCAGATATCAGTGGGTCTGTACTGGTTGTGTCCAAAGGTGTTGTGTGGCCAATAGTTACCTCTCACTGAACACTTGGGGATGGACTAGAAAGACTTTTGGTTTTCTTTTTTTTTCCTACAAGACATGACTGAATGACAGACTTCATGGTGCTACTAAAAACTCTTTCCAGATGGATTACAGCCCAATGTCAAACACCTCAAAGGCCCATAACAATCTTTTCTTGGAGTTGTACCTCAGATCTGACTATACAGAAGAAACCCCAGAAGCATTAGCTGCACACATTTTTTCTAGAGCGCTTTGAGTGCTCAGATGAGTAGAAAAGTGCTATATAAGAACCAGTCCATTTACCATTTAAAGGGCCTAACATGCACTAAATGCATCATGGTTCATCGAGCCAACTTGATGCATCCTCTGTGGACTCTGTTCACTTATGGAGTGCCAACCTAAACAGTTCTTCTTACGGTGCAAAAAGATCTGACTGGAAGGCGTAAGGTCTTCATGTAATGTAACTGTTAACAATGCAATTAACTGAAGAGCTAGTCACATTATTCTGTATAAAGTGCAGATGAACGTAACTGTCTAGCTTGCCTTTCAGGTGGCAACCACCAAACGTGACAGGCACATCGCAGAGCTGGCCACAGATTGTCACTCATGCCATGCATAAGAAACTGTCATCCAGTAACCTTACCCATGGGCGAGTGAATTGCAGGTGCCATTGCTTCTGACACTTGTATGTGTGACAGTTATCGCTTACAATGTGTGTCTGATGTTGCTCAAGGTCTGTTTTGACCTTCACTTCAATCAACACAAGCGCCACAACTTTGTTGTCATTTCATATAGGATGGTAGTTCTTAAACAACTTGATCATCAAGCTCATGTGCCGGTTGAGCCTAAACATATGCTTGAGTTTACCTCAGTGAGATTAAAAGGCATCTTCAGACCACCGATGCGTCTTACCAAAGATGCCATTGCTAAAATGGTTGCTATGTAGTGTTTTACTCTTCAAGGTAAAGATCTGCCCAAAGATGCAACTTATTATGAAATGGGTTTGATGCAATGAACTACGAAAAGGAAAACACCTTGTAATATATATTTTTAAAAAACTTTATCAAAATCTATCACCTGAAAAATCTGAGTTAAAAAGCTACAATTACATTTGGCTGTAAAAATGTGTTGAAATGAAAAATTTTCAGTTATATAGTAGTACTAAAGTTGTAATGGTTTTGAAATTTCTGAAACAAAGCATCAAGCTCCAGTTAGAACATTCATATGTTAATTTTTTGTTAATAGGTATCTAATAAAATCCTACTGGCAGATTTGTTGAAATCCAAGCTGGAGAAGGTTCAAGCCATTCATGGTTCTGAACGTTCTGGGACACCAGAAAAGGTGTCCTCAGTCCCCCGCCTTTGCTTCACCCTTTTTTCTTTGCTTGAAGTATTAATACTTTCTGTAATATTTTCCTTTGGTGTCATTGTCCATGTATTTTGAAAAAGATTACCTCTCATGTTTGTAATGTTTTATTTTTAATCAGACATCCATCCAACTTTTGTTATGAAGTTTTCAGCAATCTGTTCATCATCTCAGGTACAAAATTGCATTACACGACAAAAGTGGATCAAACGCTCTTTCCGAACCCTTTTAAACCCTTAACCCTTTTCCTCTCTCTGTGTCATCACTCCAGTTGCAGGATTTAGAAGGGTTTGAACCAGGTATGTGACTCCTGTGATTTGGGTTTGTCTGCGTTCTGGTATCTGTGACTGGACGATGGTTTTAAATTTTGCCTCTAAAAGTTCTGTCACCAAGACTAAGGCCTGGTTTGTATGAAATTAACAACTGCAGATGAATTTGGCAGGATAAAAGGTTTCGAGGTGGTGCAAATAATGAACAAATCCAGGAATCTCACTGGATAAAATGGGATAAAACAAATTTAAGTCCATAGCAGTGGTCTCTCAGTCTACTGCTCAGGTATACGAGGTGCTATCCAAGAAATTCAGAGACTAGGGTGATAAAAGTAAAACCCATACCTGATTTAAATGTAGCTACCGTCCCCTTCACAGTAGTCACCTGATACAACGATCCATAGTTTCGGCTCGTTAACCACACCTGGAACACTCCCCGTAAGTCCCATTTTTCTCATTGGTGCTGCTTCCGTTCAATGGTGCAAATCGTTTCTTTCTTTCTTTTCACCTGCAAGGTAACACAGACTAGTGTAACATTCACCTAAGCTGCTTCTGGCACCTGTTGCATGTTAAGAAAAGAACTTCTGAGGGAGAAGTCAGTTTCTTTTACTAGACTGTACACATTTACTTTCTGGTTACCAGACAAGCTGGCTAGTTTACTTGCAGTTAGCAATGCAGCTACCTTAAACAGCTCATGCTTTCTTTGTCCACTAGCTAGCAAGTTGCCAGAGCACATCACATTTCGATAGGTTTTAAGCCTCTGTTCATTTAGTGGGCTAGTTTCAGTCCTTGTGAAAGGTACTGTTTATAAGGTTGGAGAAATCTGTAGTCAGTTGAAACTGAAGAAGTCACCTGGATGAGTGGCGCAATGTTTCTCCCGCTGAAAACGCTATGTTCAGATGAACAGAATCAACTTTTGGGGGTTTTAAGCCTCTAGTAATTTCAGAGGGTTGTGTCAATCTTTCTGGTGTGACCAGGCTAACAGGTTAGTTTCATGCTATCACCTGTAATTTTGAAAAACAAACCCAGGACATTTAAAATCCACAAGAAGAAAATGTTTTGCTCAGGTTGGCCAAAGTTCAGCGTTCACTTGTTAGCTTTTACCATAAGCTAATTTGGCAGGGTCAAACCTCGGGGCTAGTCTTGGTTAAGAGCTTAATCAAATTTGTACATGAAGCTGTGTTTATCTGTCTTTGAATGATTAACTTAGAAGAACTTGGAAAGCAGAGCTTGTTGTATTTTTGCAAGGCTGATTCACTGATAATTAACAGAACTGGAGAGATTGGAAATATTGGGGGGTATATGTAATATTAAACATATAATCCAGTTATTAAAAAGGTGGCCACAAATTCTCAGCTTGTTCTTTTAATGAACTCATGTAAAAGAAGTCAACGCGTCAGCATAAAGTAGGGAGGTATATGGGTTATGCAGCACCACTTTAAGCTAATTTACTTCTTTTGGCCACTAATATCAGGGTCATTTGTGGAAATTCAGCTATGGCACACAGAGTACACAACAATGCAAATTAATCTTTATTTTTTTATACAATTTTGATTTTTACCAGTGATGTTATGTTAGTTGTTAAAATTGAGTTGAGGTTTATTACATTTTTGACCACTGTTTGTCTCTATATGAAAATATTTTGTCAAAGAGGCAAAGTTTACAACCAGTGCATCCATATTAAAACGGAAATCTGTTTGCTACAGTTTACTGAAGGTGACCAGTAAATTCTGACCTGTTTTGTCTTGAGATGATTATTAAAAAGTCCTACAATTGTCTTTGTTTCATTGTTGATTGACTTGACTACAGAGTACTACAGACTACGGTATTTATAGAGAAAAGTGTATATATAAGGGGAATATACAGGGAGTGCAGAATTATTAGGCAAGTTGTATTT